GGCTGGTCGCGGACGTGCACCGCCCTGTTGAGAGGGAGCGTTAGGGGGGGGACTGTCAAGGACGGGGCATGGACCTGAATCGAAAACACATCGCCGATAGATCTGCGATATAGGCCCTCGACAGGAAAACCGCGCGCTCCTGGCCGGAGGGGGTCTCTCGAGGGGCTATCAGGGCCCTATCGGCGATAAATGCATGGGGGTGGCAGAATAGTGCCGACACCGCCATTGCCCAGACCCCTCGGGGGTGCTTTCTGACCAGACTCTCGAGGCGAGTCCAGCCGTGGCGATGAGACAACTGGTGGCGGAATCAGTAGATGTTCGTCCTGTGACAATGGGCGATTAGGGGTCGATGCCCCCTGAGCCAAAATTACCCGCTCAACATTGCCCCCGACCTGTGCACGACCTCGTACCTCCTCAACCCCAGCGGCGCGGCCGGCACCACGGCGCGGGACTGCTCCTGGAGCGGAAGGCGGCGCGGAGGGTGCGCGGGCGCCCTGAGCAAATGGCGCGGGTGCCTAGGCCCCCTCCGCATCGTGGCAGAGATCACGGCGGAGCGTTTTGCTTTCCAGCTTTCGGCCTTCGACTGCCCTCATCTCATGAGCGGCGGACATACATATCCAGATCAGCGCCCTCGCGGAGACGCGGTTGCATGGCTTTGTGCCGCACAGGGCGTTCGCGAAGAAGCGCCGATCACCCATGCGTCCACGACGTAGGCCCCCGTCACGCGAGGCCATGGATATGGATGTCTTCCGTCCACGACTTTGGACCTCCAGGGGCCCTCACCAGGCCCCCGAGCTGTCAGAAGAACAACGCGGGATGGAAGACCGAATGGGTCTAGACCTCAGGGAGTCCAAGATGCGAGAAATCACAGCGTCGGGGGAGGGCCCGAAACGACGGGCCCCGAAGGGCCGCCTAAACTACCGAAGGGGAAACCCGGCGCGACGACTTGTCCGCAACGCCAGAGGCACGCCTCCCCCCGTTCCCATGTAACCGCTCCTGGGTGTTGCCCGAGGTTGCCCAGGCCCAAGGCGGCCACAGGCCAAAGAGGCCTGGACGGCCTCCCTCCAGAGCGCCCTTCAGAGGCCGCCCCCCCTACCCCCCCCCCTCCTTCTGAACAAACAAAAACCTTCGACGGAATATGAAGCGACTTTCTGGGGAGGGCCTTGAGAGGGCTCGTCAAGGCCCTCGAGGGATGTCCCAGGGTTTGGGGAGGCTCTCCTGGTCTTTCAGTCATCTAGTGGATCTTGTTGTTCGGAGGGCTCGGGCGGAGCCGCACCCTTGCCCACGCGCACTGGCGCGAGAGACACAGCCACCAGACAAGGAGGGAGGTGAGGCTTGGCCCCAGATCACAAGCGCCTCAAACAGTCAAGACGGGGGTGCTGTCACCATTGCGGGATCCGCGGGCCCGTCTCGGGGTCGGGGGCCATCAAAAACGATCTGGAATGAGGAACCAGTCCCCGGGACGGGGTCGAGAGGTCCAGGTGCCCACGTAAATGGCCCGTGCAATCATCGATCATGTTGCCGCATGTGTTGGTGTTGTTTCCCAGCTGTTCTTGAAAAGACTCCCTCGAACGATTTCGATGTCCGCCAGCGAGTCAGGGCATCCTCCCTCCCATCCCGCACCTCCTCCTCGCGAGCGGGGAGGCACTCCTCGAGGGGCACTCGCCGAGAGAGCTGAGGCTGCTCGGGGGGGGGGGATCGCCCGAGGGACGAGGCGCCCCACGGCGGGCCAGCACCTGGGCCACCAGGCCTCGCGCACCGCTCTCCGAGATGCGCCGCGCGCGCCTGCGGCTCCGCGCGCTCGTGCAGGCCTCCCCTCGGGCTTAGGTTGTTCCCATTCTACTTAAGGACCACATCCCAGAAATAATTTCGAGTTCCCAGAAGAGTGTTGAAAGAGTGTCGAAATAGTGTCGAAACAGAGTCGAAAGTGTCGAAACAGGGCCCGGCACGTGAAAACCCTCGAGTTTGGGGGGTTCCTTTCTGGCGCTCGAAATTCTTTCTGGTGATCAAGGCTAAAGTAGCTTGGAACATCATAACCTAGGGCGCGAGCTGGTGGGGGGGGGAAGAATGAGGGGGCAGCGAGGCCTGCAGAGAAGAGGCCCTCTCTAGGGCGCCCGAAGGGGCCCTTCAGGGCCCCAGAGGGCGACACCGGCGCCCGAAAGTGGCACCTTCCTTCTCCCCCCCCTCCCCCCCCCCCCACACACACACCACACACACACCACACACACACACGCTTATCGCAACCCCCACCCATTCGCGCCCAACCCGCCGAGAGGGGCAGGGCTGGGGCCCAGACCGCGGCGCGCTTGGCTGCGGACCATCTTCGCGTCCCCCCCCGCGGGCGGCCTGCAGAACGCCTGTGGCGGCCAGGGGCTTCTGCTCAGCGGCTGGGCGGCGGCGGCCCCTGCGGCACGCCGCGCCTTGCAAGCCGATGGCGCGCTCTGGCTTCGCGGAGCGGGAGGCTGGAACAGGCTCGGGGCGCAGATGCCTGGGAACCAGGGGCGTGTCGAAGCGCGCCGCGCCGAAGCTGCGCAAGCGTCCCCTGACCTCGTATCTGAGTGCACGGAAACCTCGACCCTCGATCCCTGGAGAGCCTCAGGCCCCAGACGCCGCGATTTGTTCCTGACGTGGACCCCCAGAGGTCTCGACCCTTCCCTGGGGCCAGCTTTTCCCCTGAGTTGCATGTTGACGGCCCCGAAGCCTCGCGAGTTCCCGCGGACACCGAAAATCGTGGAAGACATCCCGTTGTGTTTTTTCACGACGCGATGGGGCTGCGGGAACCTCGACCCCTCGGCAGCCCCAATGCGAAGAGGACGCCCCGAACGACAATCTGAGCCGCTCGTGTCCACTATCCGGGCATCGGGGAGCCCCGATCGGCAATCAGCGCTCGCAGGCGCTCTGATCGGCAATCCCAGCACCGCGCACCAAATCAACAATCGGAGCACGCTGCGCCGATCGGCGACCTGAGCAACCGTGCGCCCCAGATCGACAACTCGCCGACCTCGCCATCGCTGGGACGTCCATTCCGTGCGCATGTGTTCGGCTTCGGGCGACTCTTTTTTTTCGCGAGACCGTGTTTCGGTTTCGCGCGGTTCTTTTTTCGCGAGATGGCCCAGATGCTCCTCCATCCGACCAGCCATAACTGGGGGAGCTGTGGTCCTTAACCCCCTGGGGGAACCCATCACATCGACGATCTCTCGAGAGGGGTGTCGAAATCGATGGGTCCCCCAGGGGGGTGAGGACCACAGCTCCCCCAGTTGTGGCTGGCCTGTCCACGGCCCCCGCGGAGGGCGAGGCGCACACGTCCGAGCGATGCCGAGCGACGGGCACGAGCTCCCCGCGGCGCGCGGCTCCTCCCCTGCGCCTCCGGGCTCGGGGCGCGCCGATGCGGCCTCCTCGGCACGGGGCGGCGGCGGTCCCCTCCTCGCCCTGCCCCGACGTGCTCCCTTCCTCCTCCGTTCATGCACACAGGACTTCAGAAGTTGGCGCTGCTTGCGCCGTTTTCGAATCCGGTCGTCCTATAGATCCTTCAGAATGGAGTTCCCGCTGCTCCCCGCTGGCCTCGATTCCGCGCTGCTGTCTCATCTTGATCGTGATCCCGCTGCAGCGCTGGTCGGTTGTGAAGGATGGGAGGGAGGGCTTGGACCTCAAACATGGCGCGAGAGCACTTAGCTTGCCGTGATCCCTCAACCTCCAAGCCTCCTCGGTGAGAGGCGGGGATTCGTCTGTCACCACCAACTGGGCTTATCTTCGGGTACATCGGTAGACGGTGGACATGGATACACTTGCCCCCCTGGGCGGAATCCATTCGAATAAGTTCTCAAGATGACTAGCGGGTTTGAGGGGGGGGCGGTCTCCTAGGCACAACAGCGGCCCCAAGAAGGCCGCCGAACGACCAAAGACGGCTCCATAAATCACCCACGCGGCCCCGCAGCGGCCCCCAAACTCTCCGAAATCGTATTGTCAATACGCCACAGGCGGGTTGAGAAATCATTTTCGGGTGAACGAGACGCCTCCAAAACGTTTCCTGAAAGCTCCAAGGTGGCCCTCCAAAGGGGAGCTTCGTCGAGCAAGAACCGCCACATATTTTTAGTGAACTTGCATCTTCAGTAAAATCGAGTTTTGTTGTTAAACGTGTGCAAGACAGCCCCTGGGGCCTCCAAGATCGCCACGCGAGGCTCCAAACGGCCCCAGGACGGTCCAAGAGGCGCCCAAGACGGCCCAAGACGGTACATGGCCTCAAGGCGGCCCAAGAAGCGCCCAAATTGGCCCAAGACGGCCCCAAGACGGTCCAAGAGGCGCCCCACACGGCCCAAGCGAGCCCAGAGACGCCCTTCCGGATCCCACATGAGCACCCCAGGGGCTCCCAAACGGCCACCTGGGAGCTTCACAGCTGGCTCCAAGAGATTGGGGCGGACAAGGGGCGAGAAACCCATCGCGGCCGCAAAGGGATGTTTTTGAAACCCCGGCCGCCACCCGTTCTGGATAATTGTCTCTTGGAAGACGACGACGACGACGACGACGACGACGACGAAGACGACGACGACGACGACGACGACGACGACGACGACGACGACGACGACGACGACGACGACGACAACGACAAGGACGTCGATGTCGACGACGACGACGACGACGATGACGGAGACGACTTCGACGTCGATGGCGGTGAACCATGTGCAGCGACCTCGTGGTTCGGAACTTCTCGTTTTTTTACGTCCCAAAACCGCCACCCCGCTGCGATCCTGAATTTGCCGCGGCGCCGTTCCGACGACCCCGATTCGGCTCGCCCTGGCCCGCTCCCGTGTTCGCCGCGATCCGGGCGCGAATCTCCCAACACTGCTCTGGTCTGGACTCCAGAACTCTCTGCTTCCGCGGAGCTCGAACACTTCGGCCTCCACATCAGCGCACTGGGCGTTTTCAATGGGAGAGCACTAGAACAAACTCCAAATAAACTGCGGCATTAGTTGACGGCCTCTCACAATTCAGCGCGCGCCATCAAACCTCCATCCGCTCAACCCCGCAGATGGGATCCACGGGCCCACGGTAATACATAGATCTAGTTGTATACCTGTACACTTATATTCATATATATATATATATATATATATATATATATCTATACATATATATATATATATACATACATACATATCCACCAGTACCAAATCCCCGAAGATTGATCCCCAGGCGGCGGTTATGGGAAAGTGACCGCCTCGAAATCCGGACGCGTGCGAACATGGATGACGGATCCGTGGATCTGGCGCGCAGGCGCCAGGTCCACGGATCGGGGAGACTCCCCCCCGAAACTTGCGGCAAATGGCGCCTGCTCTGGCGACGGAGCGCGCAAATCTGGTGCATGGAAGCGGGGCCCGCCGCCAATCCACGCGACTGAATTCATGTCTGCGTTTCCTCGATTCGACCCAGTGTCTGAATCATTCGCGATAGCGTCAATGATTGGCCTGGGCAACTGGACAACCCCAGCCACGTCACGATTCGCAACGGCGACGGCGCGAAGCGTGACGTGACCAGCCCCCCCTTCCCCCGTCACGCCCGTTATCGCCAGTGGATAAACAGACTGTCTCCTCATCCCTCCCACCCCCCAGGCCGCCGAATGTCCTGAAAAAGGTGCGGCGGGAGGTTTGGGCAAGGTTCGGCCGCTCGGGGCCCTCGCCATGCCCCAGAGCCGTCAACAAGCGGCCATGGACGAGAGGCTGGTCATGAGAAAGGAAAGGATCAAGCCCTCCTGGGGGTCATGCGGAGAGGAAAAATTACGATTACCCCGACGGAAGGCCCCCGAACTAATCTGAAAGCAATCCTCATCGTCACCTTTGCGAATGCCGAGGCTCTCTTCCTGTTGTCTTCTCGCCCTGCTCCTTTTTTCGCCTGGCGGAAGACCTCCTCTCGCCCGCTCTCCCATCCACCTCCTCCCCCGCCTCTCTTGCACAGGTCGCGCAAGTCGGTTTTCCTCGGCGCCGTCGTCGCCACTGCCAGCACGCGCGCGTTTCCGACGGCCGGATCGCGAAGACGTCGGGGCAAACCCGCGGGCTAGACCTCTGGGACAACCCCGCGAACGTCTGAGGCGCGGGAGCAGACCGTTGGGGCAGACCCGCAAGTCTCGAGCTAGTCGCGGCCGCGCTCAGGCGGGAGGCAGCGCGAAGCCGGGCTTCGCCGCGAGCTGCTCCGCCTCGGCCCTGGGAACCTCCGCTCTCTCGCCGGAGTTCCTGAGCGGCCCGCGCTCCAGAAACTCCCGCGCCGGCGGCCGGAGGATCAGCACGCCCCGCGCGCGAGTGGCGAGGGATAGCATGACGTAGAAGCGCAGCCACCGCCGCTTGTCCCGTGCGCCCGCGCGACCAGCGTCCTCAGCCCTGGCGCAGTCGACGGTGACGCCCTTGCGCAGCGTCTGACCCTGCGACGGCGTGGAGGTCGGGCAGGACGCGAGCGGCGCACGACCTGCGGCCCCGAGCTCTACCACGTGAGCTCGCTGGGCCTGAACATGAGCAAGCTCCTGTCCCGCGCCTCGGCCTCGCCGTCGTCGCGAGCGCCCTCGGCGTCCTGTAGCAGCAGCTCGGCGACCTCCTGAAGCCGCGCCCCTGCATCCAAATTCCTCGCGGCAGGAAACGGGGGCGGAAGAGCTGGCGCGGCGCGCATTCCTCGTTCTCCTGCTCGTCGCCTGGGTGCACTTTGGACGACACGGTAGCGGCCCTTGCTCCCGAGCGAGCCTCGACTTCTTCTTCAATTGCTCCTGCACGGCCGTGAACCCACATGGAGGGGCTCCCCGTTCGAGGCGTCCACAGCCAGACTTCCTCCATATTCAAGCCTAAGGTGCCCAAACGTGGCGAAAATACATCATGCTGATGACCCGCTCGGATTCAAACAGGATGTGCAGAGGGGGTTCCCGCTCGAGTCTCCCTCGCGATTCACTCACACACGAGACTTCCGCTCGAGACTTCCTGGATCTTCAGGTCTGAGGACCCCAAACGCGACGAAAATTACAATATTTTGACGACCCGCTCGGATTCGAATATGACGTGCGGACCCCATTGGGATTCGTTCCCACCTCAAGCTTTCTCGCGACCGCTTGGATTCGAACGTGGCGGTGGGGACCGCATAGGGAAAGGCTCATGTTTGAGACTGACTCGCGGTTCGAGGACAGACGAGGCTCCCGCTCGAGACTTCCTCCGCATTCAAGTTTCAAGCGCCCAAAAGTGTAGACAATTCCAAGCTTGAGGATGGCCGTTTCGGATTAGTAGCATGAGGCGCGGGCCCCACAGGGAAGGGGGTCCCTCAGATCTAACTCGCCGGCGAGGCTCCTGCAGACTGCCTCCGCATTCAAGCCTGAGGAAACACGTTCCGTGCGCGGCCTGTAGAGAGGGACTCACGCCTGAGACTTCCTCGCAATTCACTCACCGACGAGGCTTCCGCTTGAGACCTTCTCCATATTCAGGGTTGGGGAACCCAAAAGTGACGACTATCACAAGTTTGAGGATGGCCCGCTGGGATTATTATAACATGACGCGCAGGCCCCATAGGGAGGGAGCTCCCGAATGAGACTCCCTCGCAGATCAATCACCGACGAGGCTCCCGCTCGAGACTCTCTCAAGGTAACTGAGTGAGTGAGTGAGTAAATATATCAATGGTGATGATGATGGTGGTGGTGATGATGATGGTGGTGATGGTGAAGGCGGTGGGATGGTGATGAGAGGAGAGGGGCGGTGGGTGAGGTTCCTGCGCGTGGGGTGTTCAAAGAAAACAAGAAACCCGCTTTGGATGTGGGGAGCATCAGTTGTTATACACAGAGCAATTATCTTGTCCTGGAGAAGGAAGGGATCAAGCCCTCCAGGGGGTCATGCTGATAAAAGACACGTCGGGTGGACAGGCTCATCCCCCCTCGCTACTTCTCTGCGGCGTGGTGTGGGGCTGGCGAGTGCAACAAGTGGCTCAGGCCCCCGATTCGTAGCAGCCGCATCTGACATACGGGATGTGGACCCCAATGGGAACTGCGTGGGGGTGTCTTGTCAAGCTTGCGCCACAATTCTGCCCCTCCCTGCCGTCTCAAGCCTAGGCAAGGCAATGTCACGTACAAACACAAAGCCCGCCCGATACCGGATGCGGAGCGAATGAACGATCTCTGCTGCTGATGCATCAATGGCCACCGATTTTTTGTGGCCAGGCACCGAAAAATGAGAGGGGAGAGGACGCGCGAAGGGAGAGAGGGGCGCACCACGGGCAAGGACAAGAGGCGAGGCGAGCGGAGCGGGGGGAGGGACGACAGACAGAGGGGGGCCCGGGGACAACCGAGCAAACACGAGCGGGAATCTGACGTCGCTGCGCCCTGTGATGCCGCCGGCCCAGCGCAGCCTTGCAAAGAGAGGGGGGAGAGGCTCCGCGACGGCGGGGCTCCCGCAGCCCAAGCGCTGACCCCTGGGGGGGGCGGGTCGGGCCTGTTGCACGCACGGGCCCCGCGGCCTGTATCAGGAGTTCCCGGCAGGGTACGCAGGAGCAGGGCAAGACATCCTGGCAACTCCGGCTCCTGGGGACTTGCTTGTCACCCCTGAGGAGGAGGAGGAGGAGGAGGAGGAGGAGGAGGAGGAGGAGGAGGAGGATGGCAAGACATCCTGGCAACTCCGGCTCCTGGGGACTCGCTTGTCACCCCGGCGGGGGCTTGACGGCCGCGGGGGGGCAGCGAGCAGGCCTCGAGGGGTCTGCCGGCGGCGCGCCGGGGGGGGGGGGAGCTGGAGGGCGCAGGCCTGCGCAGGAATGCGGCGGGGCTTCGGAGAAGGATCGGAGGGCTTCTCGGGGGCCAGAGCCGCGAAGCATGCTGTCGCAGTGCCGGGGAACGCTGCACAAGGAACGAGGGTGCGTTTCCAGTCACCGAGCGCCTCGGCCACGAATGGGTCCCTCGACCTAGATTCAAGGAACGGCCCGAGAACCAGGGCAACTCAGCTTCCCTCAACAGCACTCGGTTCCAGACGCCGTCTAGTGAATGCGACACGTTTCGGGCACACTGCGCACCCTTCGTCAGGCATGGGCCCACATGGTTATCGCGCAGTGTACGCACACTATACACACATGCGCACTGAGGAAAAATGCGACTACGACAGATTGTACAACACTGGGCGCCCGTGAAGCAGCAAGAAACGACACAGAACAAAGAAAAATCGGAGCAACAGAACAGTTCCGTGAAGCCCAACATGGTCCGTATGCTATGGCCTCGACGATGCAGCTCCCAGGCCCAGGTCAGCAGAGGGAGGGCGGGCGGGAGGGGGCTGACCCACGCGCGGCTTCCCAAGACCAGGCCAGCCAGGGAGGATCAGAACCCCGTTAGAGCTGACGGAAGTGAACCACCAGCGCCCCGCCAGCCCCCTTCTCCCCCTTGTCTCTCCCTCCTTCTCCTCCTCCTCCTCCTCCTCCTTCTCCTCCTCCTCTCCTCCTCCTCCTCCTCCCTCCTCCTCCTCCTCCCTCCTCCTCCTCATCCCCTCATCCTCCTCCCCGCCTCCTCCCTCCCTCCTCCCTCCCTTTCCTCATCCTTCCTCCCTCCTCCCTCCCTCATCTCCTCCTCCTCCTCTCTCCTCCTCCTCCTCACCTCCTCCTCCTCTTCCTCCTCCTCCTCCTCCTCCTCCTCCTCCGCCTCCTCCTCCTCCTCCTCCTCTCCTCCTCCTCCTCCTCCTCCTCCTCCTCCATCTCACTCCTCCTCCTTCATCTTCCTCTTCATCTTCCTCCTCCTCCTCCTCCTCCTCCTCCCTCCCTCCCTCCCTCCTCCCTCCCTCCCTCCCTCCCTCCCTCCCTCCCTCCCTCCGTCATCCTCCCTGAAGGTCCTTGCTGTCCGCCCCCTTGGGCTCGGCCTTGGCCGCGGCGCGCCCACTCCCGCCGCCCACCAGCGCGTGCTCGCGGCAGCTGTGCCCGCAGCGCCAGCAGCGCGCCGCGTCCTCAACCCGCAGCGCTCCCCGCTGCGGCGAGCCAGCGCCGAGGCGTATCGGCACGTAGCCGGGGCAGCTAGCTGCCGCGCAGGCGCCGCGGGGCGTGCTGAATGGGTCCAGGTGGGGCCCATCCGGACTGCCTCATTACCAGACCACCCCATCCCAACCCGAAAACCCATGGTTCGGGCTGGTGAGGGTAGTTACGGGTTCCATGTCTGTTTTTCCATGTTCCCCGGCGCCCTCCCCACTGGGAATGGAGGACAGCTTGGGGCCGTAAGGTTGGGTTGGGGATGTTTGGTGTGGTGACACCTGGCAGGCCTCCCGGCGCGCCCTGGGCCAGCGCCTCCTCCTCGGACCAAGCGCCCAGCAGCTGCACGTCGGAGGCGGCGGCGCTGGCGGCGGGCGGCGCGCACACCCTGGCGCCGACGCGAACCTGCACCCGCCCTAGCGCGGCGGGGATGCCCGACGCGATCGCCAGGGGCTTCAGGCTGACCCTCGCGCGGCTGCTGGGGAGCGCCACCTCCGCAGGGGGCTGGCCCACGGGCCTCCACTCCACGCTGTAGCCCACCAGATCGTGGCGGAGGCCTGGCCACTGCACCTCGAGCGCCTCGCTGAATCTCGCGGCCACCCGCGGCTGCAGCGCCACCGCGGCCAGCTGCGAGCCCACGAAGACCCAGCAGCCAGCCACACTAGGGGGCTGCGCCCGCGCAATGCGCAGCCAGCCCCCGCCCGGGAAGCCTGCCACGAGGCTGCCTGCCTCCAGCACCGCCCTCTCCCGCGCCGCCTTGTGCGGCTCCTCCCGGGCCACGGCTCCGCCTGCCTTCGCGACCACGTACTCCACCGGGTGCCCGAGCACGCGCTGGGCGTTGTCCGCGGCTGCGGCGCACCGGCCCAGCTTCGCAGCAGTGGGAGGCTCCAGCACTGAGGCGGCCGCGGCAGTCTCGCCGCCGCTCGCAGCGCTGGGGACAGCCACTGCCTCCGCAGCCGTCGCCCAGCCAGGCGGCCACATGGCCGCAGCGGCTCCAGCCCGCGCCTGAGGGGCGCGGGCGCCCCGCCAAGTGCCCACAGATGGCAACAGGAACCAGGGCCCGTCGAGCCGCGCGCGGGGCCGCAGCAAGGCAACCTGCTCCAGTGAGAGCTCCTGCAGCTCGGTGCCGCCGCCACGGCACGGGGTAGCCTCGTCCAGGGCGTCCGCGGCCCCCTCTGTGGGGCTTTTGGCGAGTGCCTTGGTTGCCTCGACCTCCAGGCCCTCCACCTGCACTGCCTTCGGTGAGTCGCCAGCGTCGCCAGCTCCATGCGCTTCGTCCCAGGGGCCTTCCTGTCTGGCGTGTGCTGATGTGTCCTCCTCCTCCCCCTCCTTCTCGGCCCACTGCTCGAGGTCCTCCAGGGGCCCAGTGAAAGCGCCTGCGCCGCAGAGCGCGGCACCAGCCATACCTGACGGATCTGTCTGACCTTCTTGTCGCAACAATTCCGGGCCAGCTTCTCCGCCAGCCCCCTCATCTGAGCCCTCCCACCACGCGGCGGTGTCTCCCTCCAGCGCTATGTACTCCTCGACGGAGCCTTCGGGCATCTCTGGCGAACCCTTTGGTGGTGGCAACAATTCTGGGGCAACTTCCCCGACGGCCTCTTCGTCAAAGCCTTCCCACCACGCGGCAGACTCTCCATCGACTGGCCGGCACGCCTCGTCGGTCTCCAGGGCCGCTGCGTCGCGCACGCCCCCCATGCCCTCCGCCCCCTCGCCAGAGCCTTCCCACCACTCAATAGGGCCACCCGCAGCATGCAGGCACTCAACGCCAGTCTCTGGGATCGTGACGGCGCGCGCGACGCCCGCCCCAGCATCTGGGAGGTCGCCCGCCGCGCTGGGCGCCTCGCTGGCGAAATCCAGAAGATCTCCGCCCTGGGCGCTGGGCTCGAGTGGCGCGTCCTGATCTGCTACAGAACTGCCGCCGACCTCGTCCTTGTCCCCCTCCGGATCCGCATCCTCGTACGCAAGCGGTATCGATACACCACCACCGAGTCTTGGGCCGTCCTGGGCCTTTGCATGGTGTTGTGTATAGATTCCGTCTGCGGATCCTCAGGCACGGATGCCTCCGGGGCGGCGTCGGGCTGCGGGCTTTGCTGCAGTGCCAGGTGCTCCTCGTGCGACGCGCCGCAGCGGCGGCACTGCTCCGCGCTGGCCTCGTAGAACGAGGCCGCGGCCACAAAGCCCACGCAGCCTGTGCGACCACAGCCACCGCGCCTAGCACCGAGCATGTCGCGGTCCGGCAGCTCCTCCGAGAGCGCGCTCGTCTCCATCTCCACCCAGGGCCCAGGGACCAGCAGCTCCGCAAAGTCGACCTCCGGGCCAGAGACGGACGCCACCACCCGCACGCGCAGGGGGGAGCCGGCCGGTAGCCCGTGCAGCAGCGCGCCGGGTGAGGTGCACTCCGTCGTGCCGCCCACGCCACCGCTGGCCCCGAGGAGGCCTTCGCCCCCGCTGCTCGAGCCGGCGTCTGCTGCTCGCCCGCCTGGGCTGCTGGCGCGCGGCGTGGGGCCGCCGCCAGCCGCTGTGTCGCGGGGGCGCCACTGCACGCTGTAGGCCACGAAGTCTCCAGGGATGCCCGGCCACGACAGCTCGAGCGCCTCAAAGAACGATCGCTCCACCTGGGTGCTGGCCGAGAGTTCGACCGATAGAGTTCACATAGGGGATGCCATGGTCGGCGTTCGGGGAACGCTGCGATTTCGGCCAGATTTGGGGCCTCAGAGGGAGCCAAAACCCTCGCGTACCCCGCTCTCGCCCCTAAGAACGGGCCCCAATAGCATACACCACCACCACCACCACCTCCTCAATCCCCCCACCCTTTTCCACCGTCCTCTCCCTCTCGTATTTCCTGGGAGATCAGTGGATGAGGGAGGTGGTGGTGGTATATTGCTTGGCTATGTGAAGAACAGCACCGATTTCGAACATGTATGCCCGTGCGCACCCGAATGCCCGCCCAACGCGCGGCGAGGAGCTGCAGGGCAACTCCGCCTCCTCTGAGGCCGATCCGCGCCCAGCCTGGGCTCTGGCCGGTGACCTCCCCATCAGCCAAGAGCAGCCAGCCGCCCGCCGGGTAGCCGCGGACCACTTGCCCGGCCTGCAGCCTACGTGTGACTGGCGAGCGGCGTGACGGCGCCTCGCGCACCAGGGCTTCGGCCGTCACATCGTGCTCCAGGGGCTCCCTGAGCACCTTGGCGATGTCCCCCGCTGCAGCACTGGGCTCTTGCGGCAATGCCACCATTGCAAGGAAGAAGACTCAGCCATGGCGTGCGGCCGCTGGCGTAGCGGAGGCTAGGGCAAGAGGGGCAGGGTGACGTAGGCACACAGATCTGTTGCCATTTTCTTGCGTCTGGCGGTCCCCCATTAGCTGCTAAGAGCCTCGTAGCTGCAGCAACGACGGCCTCACTGGCTCTCCGCGGGCCATGCTGCGGCCCAGAAGCCACAAACTGCACCAATGGGGGAACAAAAAGTGACGTAAACATAACAACTCGGAGGTCCGCGCGGATTTCTCGGATCGGCGCTGGGGCCTCCCAGCGGCGCCTCCGGCGCCGCCCCTGGCGCGCGGAGCGCGCCAGGGAAGGGGGTCCAGCGCCGATCCGAGAAATCCGCGCGGACCTCCGAGTTTTTATGTTTCTGTCACTTCTCGTTCCCCTAACCCACGACAAGTGGCGTCCAAATCAACCCCTCCTCCTCCTCCTCCTCTTCCTCCTCCTTCTCCTACTCCTACTCCTCTTCCTCCCTCTCATCCCATTCCTCCTCATCTCATTCCCTCTCTCCCTCCCTTCTCCCTGCTCGCTGAGAGCACACCTTGGTGCTCAGAACTTTGAACTTCATCATTCTGCGGAGCTCTCGCTCCAGATCGATCCTGGAGGGCCCCAGGGCTCGAAAAACGGTGCAGCAAAGCCTGTCACGCTGCATCCCCGCGACGCCCTGAGCTGCGGAACTGAATTCCCACGCCTCCGATCGACTCGACTTTTTTCGAGTCTCGACCCTTCCCGGGGGCCGGCTCTTCGTCATCGGTTTGGTTTTCAACGAGCCCCGTGGACCCAATAAACCGCGGACGCCGAAAATAGTGGAAAACCTCCAGCACGTTTCTGACGGATTGACTTTTGAATCCGCGGGCCAAGAGGTCTGGACCCCTGCACTGGGGGAAGTGTCTCGTCCAAGATTGGATGTGGTCCTAGGGCCAGAGGACGACCCACCGAGGCCGAAGGAACGACGACGTGATTGAAAAATAAAGCGCGCCCAAGAATCAATCGGCGGCGCGCACACGCAGGGTCGGCGATGGGGATGGCCTTCTAAGAAGGTAGGATGCTTCACTCATGGGGCTCGGAGGCTTCTGATAACCGCGGAAGGCCTTGAATGCTGCACTCCCTCCCCACCCCAAGCTTTCGGCTGGGAGTAGTCGTCCTCCCTCTCGTCCTCGCACTCCCCTTCTCGCCCTCGTCGTCGTCGCCGTCGCGATCGTCGTCGTCGCCGCCTTCAATGCGTATTGCCCAGACCTGCAAGGTGATGAGAAAAAAAAGCGGAAGCTTATCGCAAACTGCGGCTCTCCGGGGCCTGTATTTACGGGGCACTGGGACGGAAGCACAAACGATCCAGAAGGGGACGAACATCTGGCCCCAAGGAAGGGGTTCGAAACTTCCAGAGAACCCAATGTGCAAAGAGAACGCGGCGCCTGGGGTCCGGGTCGGCGAGGGGGTCTGCGAGAAGCCCCCCCTCAGCTCCTTAGAAGGCCACCCCCATCGCGCCACCCACCGCCCTGCCGAGACACCCAGCGCAGTGTTTCGTCCGAAATGTGGACCCGCCTATTTCCCTCCCCGTTCCATGGGGCCAGCTTTTCATCCTGTCGCTTCTTGACGGCCCAAGCCCCGGCAGGGTCCCACAGCAGGGGCCGAGAATGGCAGCAAATCTTCCGTCGAGACGCTTTGCCATCACGCGAGGGGGTCTGGGCGTGCGCGCCGCCAAAGCAGGGCCCGCTTCCATGATCCTCAGAACGTCAACGTGCGCGTGTCCATCGAAGCCCTCCGATACGACGCAGGGGGCGTATAATGAGGGCCGACACGGGCTGCGTGCCATCGGAGGAGCTGAAAGGGGCAAACGCACAAAGGGCTCAGGCACGTCCTGAGGATCCTCGATCTCTTGTTTTCACTGGGGCTCGCGAGTGCGAGGCGGGTTTTTTTGTATGACTGCCGCATGTGGGATCGATCTGCGGGGACCTCGGCAAGCGATACACAGATGTGGATAGGCCTGGGCCCCCCCGGGGCCCGAAGATGTCCACATCCACCGCCTGCCGCAGCCACCGAAGACCAATCTCACGAGCGTTGGTTGTCGATAAGACCCCGCCTCGGAACAGGAGCAAAGGATCTGTACACGTCGTTCATTTCTAATCGTGCTCATTTCTGATTGTGCTCGTTTCTCATTGTTCCTGGCCCCCCAGTGGCCAGGAAGAGGCCCAAGATATAACAACTAGAAATGAAAGGATCTTGGCCCCCTGAAAAATCAAAGAGCTCTCGAAGAATTAGAGATGAACCATGTGTAGATAAGACCCCGCCTCGGATCAAGAGCAAAGGATCTGTACCATCAGGAGGCCGGGGGGGCATGCAAGGAGGGCATCCGGCCGGGCCAGCGCGACGGGCACCGCGGGCGCCGGCCCTGGGCCCAAATGGCCACTGCGAGGACGACGGCGAGAAGAACGAAGAAGAAGAAGAAGAAGAAGAAGAAGCTCGGAGAGTAGGGCGAAGATTGCCGCAAGGCGGCCCAAGACACCCCCGAGAGGCCCGCAAGAGGGCCCAAGAGGGCCCCAAGACGGCCCAAGAAGCCGCCAAGGCGACCCCAAGACGGCCCCTGTGGACCTCCACCACGGACGAGAGTGCCAAAAGACGACTGCCCACGCAGGGTCCGAAGACGGCCTGCAAAGGCGAAGAGGTCCCTTACAGGCCTCGGGGAAGACCAACGATCATCATGCGGAAGGCCATTTCGAACATCAGCATGCCAGAATAGAAATACGTCTGGGCCACGAAATTGACATTCTTCAATAACATCATGTATGGGTTCACTGGTTCAGAATCTCCTACTGCACGGCAGTATCTGGTAAACTTTCTGGTTGCTTCCAAATGCCAGTCCATGTCGCGCATGGTTTCAGGGCCTCTGGAATCGGGGGTCGGGCCGCCCCCCCATGATCTGATCTGGCTGGTGGCTGGTGTAGATTCTGGAGCTACGGAGCAGCAGCATCGGTTAGAATATTCCTCTGCACGCGATTCGCCGATCGAAAATCAAATCGAATGGTAACCGAACATCTGAATGCATAACTCCGTTGGTCATGCGGCAAAAGCAGCTATTGCGACTGCTGAGCAGGCATAGCTGGGGCGGGCCTGGGAGGGCGAGGTGAACAAGGGGCAGACAGGGCTGACCAGCCCTCGGACGGCTCAAGAAACCTCCCAAGAAGCCTCGGAGGCTCCCAGGAAGCTCCTGGGAGGCCCCAAGAGTGTCCCAAGAGGCTCCCAAGAGGCCTCCGCCTCCCCAAATTTTTCCTCCCTCTCCTTCCCGTCTTCTCTCTGACCCGCGTGTGCCCCGAATGGTCTCCACCACGGCTGGAGGAAGGCCCAGTCCGACAGCTGGGCCGAGCTCTGGCCGCAACGCTCGGCCACACAGGCTCTCCCAAGAGGCGGGAGGGGGGGCGGCGGCGGCCCGCTCGTGACAGGCGACGGCGACGACGAGGACAAGGAGCCGCTGCCCGAGACGGCCTCGCACACGGCGGCTGGCACGCGGCCACCGCCGCGGGCACCCGCGGACGGCCCGGCTCGCTGGCTCGCTGGCTGCTGCTCGGCTTAGGGCACGATGGGCTCCTGCGTCCTGCGCTCGCGCGCGCGAGAGCGTCGCAGGGCCTCCGGAAGCATCGGAAGGTGAGCTACGCGCAAGGGTGGCCCTGCACTGCCCTGGACGAGTGATGCGACTTTACAAAAGAAATGTCGCCTCGTTTGTTGTCGTTGCCTTCGGTTGTTCGTCGTTGTTGGCCTCCGCGGGCCGTTTTCAGGCCCCGGGACCGTCAGCAACGGACCCTGAATGAAAAACTACCTCCAGGGGAATCTCCTGGACGATTCTTCGACACGACCTGCAGAAGTTGCATGACTTTCCCAGGGGAGTGTAGGCTCGAGTGGCCTGCGGTGCGCGGCTTCAGGGACGCGCCCAAGGACGCTGGGAGCTGCTGCCGCAGAGCGTCACTCTGACGCCCATCCGAGAAAGGCACCTCCGAAGGCACCGCCGAGGGACTCCGAAGGCCCCTGGGCAGCCGCGCAAGGCATCGCGCTTCAACAGCTGGGTGCTACTCCGGGGTTCCGGGCGACCTTCCCTGCCGTAATCTGGTCTCGCCCAGGCTCTCCTCCGTCTCCTCCCTCTGCCCTACTCTGGTCACTTCCAGGCACTGGCGGCATGCAGGTCAGAATGGCCACGATCGGCAGTGCGCGATTTCAACAGACACCCTGGCAAACGCCCCTGCCAGGCACACGCCACACCATGAATAGCCACGATCAGCCGCGCGCGCGATTAAAAAGATTTCCTGGCGGTTTGGCCAGTAAACGCCTCTCCCAGGCACGTGCAACACCATGCCTGCGTCGACTTTGAGTGGCCAGTCGGCCTGTTGCGACTTCAAAAATACCTCGTGCGAGGCGCGAGCATTCAGAGCAGTCACGATCGCCGGTGCCCGACGCTCGCCAACTCTTACGGGCGGGGTGGGGAGTTACTAGAGGCTGAAAACACACATGCTGTCGCGCATTGAGTCTCAAGCTCTCCGCCGCCTCTGGCGGTGCGCGTTGCGAGCAGAAGCACAGCAAAGCCACGGGAAAGTGCGGCATTCACAGCGTAGCTCTGCACGCGTGACGCACGCCCACGAGCCAGAGCACAGCCAAGCCCGAGGAGCGCGAGGCACTGGCAGTGCAGCTCCACAGCGACGCGGCGCAGCTCGAAAGCACTGCACTCGCATGCGGGACGTGGAGGACGCCGAGCCAGCGCTGGCCGCCGGAGAGACGTGCGGAGGGCCGGCGCACGGTGGTGCAGCCAGCCCCCACGCATGCCCGAGCGGCCGTTCCAGCAGCGGCTCGCGCGGGGTCCACCCGCCCCTGCCCGCGGCGCCCCGCTGCTCCAGGTGCCGTGCGGAGGGCCCGTGGCGGGCCCGGCGCTCGCCAGAGCTGGGGAGGGGGCAGGAGCGGCCACGCCGGCAGCGGCTCGCGCAGGGTCCCGCCGCCACCAGCGGGAGCGGCGAAGTCCCCGCGGAGCGGGCCCAGACGGGGGCCGAGGACTGCTCCGTGTGGACGCAGCCTCCCATCAAGAGATGCTCAGTTCAGCAGGGGTGAGTCCACACGGAGACCGTGCACTCCGTGCGGCTGCACTCCGTATGGACTCCAGCCTCCGCCGACTCTGTCTAAGGGGGGTTGTACGTAGAAGGCTGCCGAGGGCCCGTGAGGAAAGGGCAGCCGCAGACAGTAGGGAAGCGGGGCGCGGGAGTATCGCACAAAATTAATCGACAAACTTCAGATCGCAAGCGTGGGCCGATCTCCTTCGACGCGAATGGCGCAGTCGAGATTAAAAATGAAATATTTACGATGGCGCTTTGACAGCTGCAGATCTAATGACGTCGGGGCGAGCAGACGACATCCTTCCCTCACCCTCCTTATCCTTTTTCTCGTCCTCCTCCTGCTCCTCCCAGTGGCCCGAAGCATCCCTCGTCCGCTCGCGGCCCACCGTGGCAGGGGCGGCAACGTCAGGCACTGAATTCGACGCACCGGTTGAACAAACAACACAAAACAAATCCAGGCGACGAGGTTGTATCTCAGTCGTCTACGGACTCGGCCTGTGCAACTCTCCCGACATCTCGCTTTCTCCCCTCCAGAGCCTCTGCCTCACCGTCCCAACCCGGTCCCTGAAGCAAGAGGCCAGACATATTTCTCCACACCGCGGCGAGATGGATGCCCGCGCGCAAACCTCGGCGGAGGGTATTCGCGGGCGGGGAACGTTTCCCTACCCACGGCATGGCGGTCTGGACTTCTCGGCTGCGATCCCATGGATACAGAGCGGCTTTGGGCGGATGCGCTGCGCGGAACGGATCCGTGGGAACGCGTATCCGTGAGATCGCGCCTCGTTATCCAGACCACGAGGGCATTGATATGGACATCGATGCGTTCGTCGCTCGTGAAAACTGCAGGAATACTGGAGGAACACATGTGAGGATGAGATGCCGTGGAAGGGAGTGAGGCGGACAGGAATGACAGCGCACAGAAGCTGACACTCGGAAAGACCCCCATTCACCGCACGGGTGACAATGCAAAATCACACTGAGGGATCAAATGTGCGCACTTGCGCTTGTCGGGGGACGTGCTGTGCGCATGCAGTCCACACCATTGCGCCGCACCTCTTAAAGGCCGAGGTGGCGACGCGGAAACATGAATTCCTCCTAAGTTCTGCTTAGAACAAATACGCTCCGATGTCTCACAACGTCTCGGAACGTGCCTGCCACTGCGCCTGCCTAGCCGCGTCGTGGCGGTGGGTCAGGTGAAGAGTCGGACGCAGCGCGGGGTCCAGGCCAGCAGGGGCGGGACGGTGTCCTGGCCAGGCGCATGAGCGGCTCCCGCCGCCGACTCCCGCGCTCCCCGATGGCTGGGGGCGGCTCGGATCCGCAAGGCCGCTGCGCGGCGTGGGAGCAGCAGGCCTTCCCGCTCCCGCAGCCGGCGTGGGAGCAGCTGCTCTCGATCGCCTCCACGAACGTGTTCCTCACCTGGTAATACTCCTTCCCCTCGCTCGCCCCGGACTCCGTGCCCTCCTGCCCGCTCCCGCTCGCGGTGTCGCGCCAGCCGGCGTGGGAGCAGCTGTTCTCGATCGCCTCCACGAACGTGTTCCCCACCTGGTAGTACTCCTTCCCCTCGCTCGCCCCGGACTCCGTGCCCTCCTGCCCGCTCCCGCTCGCGGTGTCGCGCGGCGCCGAGCTGTCGCTGGCCGGCTCCGCCGCCCGCGGCACGGCGGTGGGCGCGCAGGCGCCGCCCCCCGACTCCCGAGCCGCCTCCTGCGCGATGCGGAAGGACATACTAATCAGAGTGGGGGGGGGCGAGCGGTCATTCATTGTCCCTGGGTGCGTGGCTGGTGTGAAAATCCGTGGTGGGGGTTCTGCTTGTTGCTTTGCTGTTGTTGCTGCTGTTGTTGGTGTTGTTGTTGGTGTTGTTGATGTTGTTGTTGCTGTTGCTGTTGCGGTTGATGGTGTTGTTGTTGCTGCTGTTGCTGTTGTTGTTGGTGTTGAATTCTCACTTTTGAAGAATAAATATTGCTGATCCCCCCTAACTGGTGCAGACTGTTTCTTCTCAATCAAAGAAGTGTGCCCCTCGACGCTCGCACCCTGTTTCTTTGCCAGTGAAAGTATTGATGCTCAAACTGCGCCCCTGGCCCCCAGGTTACATCAACAACGGCTCTCGCGGGAGACGTCCTCACAAGTTAGCCAGGACCCCCGCTCCCGCACGAGACTTCTTCGCATGTTATTCAGGAATCGCGCTCTCGCTTGTGACTTCCCTACAATTCATTCCAGAATCGTTTTCCCGGCGCTCTGGAGTCGCGCTCTCGCTGGAGACTTGCTTGCAATTTACTGACGAATAGCGCCCTTGCGTTGGAATTTCCTGTAATTTACTTAAGCGCCGCGCTCCCGACACCCAGGCACCAAAGAGTCGCGCTCACGCTTAGGACTCCCTCACAGATACCTAGGAATCGGGATCTCGCTGCCCTTCGTGGCCCCGTTGCAGCCCTTCGTGGCCCCTTCGCTTTGTTTCGTGGCCCCGTTGCAGCCCTTCGTGGCCCCCTCGCTTTGCTTCGTGGCCCCGTTGCAGCCCCCTCGTGGCCTTCTCGCTGCCCTTCGTGGCCCCGTTGCAAACCTTCGTGGCCCCCTCGCTTTGTTTCGTGGCCCCGTTGCAGCCCTTCGTGGCCCCCTCGCCGCCCTTCGTGGCCCCATATATGTATGCCCTTCGTGGTCCCCGCTAGTTCGGCCCGTTGTGGCCCCATGTGCATGCCCTTCGTGGCCCCGCTGTCGCCCTTCGTGGCCCCCTCGCTGCCCTTCGCGGCCCCGTTGCTGCCCTCAGTGGCCCCGTCCTTGCCCTCCGCGGTCCAACATACGTATGCCCTTCGTGGCCCCGCTCGTTCGCGCCCGTTGTGGCCCCATGTGCATGCCCTTCGCGGCCCCGCCGTCGCCGTTTGTGAGCCCCTCACTGTCCTACGTGGCCCAATCGCTACCCTTAGTGGCCCTCTCTGTGGCCCCGCATTATCTGCCCTTCGTGGCCCCCGCTCGTTCGCGCTCTTCGTGGCCCCATACGCATTCCCTTCGTGTCCCCGCTGTCGCCCTTCGTGGCCTACTTCGTGTCGTTCGTGGCCCTGCTGTCGTTCTCTCTCGCTCTCGCTTTCGCTCGTCGTCGTCGTCGCCGTCGTCGTCGACGCCGTCGTCGTCGACATTGTCGTCGTCGACGTCGTCGTCGTCGTGGTCGGTCCCCTGTCCGTCCCTCTTGGGATCGGGTCGACGGTCCGCGGCCGCCCCGCCGATCAGCGCTGCCGCTGGCCAGGCCGACGGTCCGCGGCCGCCCCGCCGCTTGCCAGGGTCCGGCCTGCAGGGAAGAAAGGTATACCCCGCAAATGGGGTTCGATCGAAGACGAAGAAGGCGGGTATCGAGGGTTTGGGAAATACGCGTTCTTGGACACTCGAGCAGATAAGGGCGAACAGTCTTAAAATGACCGTTGCTGTTGTTTTTGTTGTTGTTGATGTTGTTGTCGGTGTTGGTGTTGTTGTGCTTGGTTTGTTGTTGTTGTTCTGCCTGTTGTTGTTGTTGCTGGTGTTGGTGTTGCTGTTGTTGTTGATGCTGTTGCTGTTGGTGTTGTTGTTAGTGTTATTGGTATTGCCGTTGTTGTTGGTGTTGTTGCTGTTGTTGTTGCTGTTGTTGTTGGTGTTGTTGGTGTTGTTGTTGTTGTTGGTGTTGTTGTTGTAGTAGTTGTTGTTGTTGTTGTTGTTATTGTTGTTGTTGTTGGTGGTGGTGGTGTTGTTGTTGTTGGTGTTGTTGTTGTTGGTGTTGTTGTTGTTGTGGTTGTTGTTGTTGTTGGTGTTGTTGCTGTTGTTGTTGTTGTTGTTGATGTTGTTGTTGTTTGTTGTCGTCGTCCCCCCCGCGACCCACCCGCGACCCACCCCGCGACCCACCCCGCGACCCAACCCGCGACCCACCCGCGACCCACCCCGCGACCCACCCGCGACCCGGCCGCAACCCACTCCGCGACCCACTCACGACCCACCCCGCGACCCATAGGCGACACATCCGCGACCCACTTGCGACCCACCCGCGACCCACCACCCGCGGCCGATCCACATTGGTTTGAAGAAGAAATCGGCGCCTGCGGCGGGCTCGTTGTATAATGCGTGGAACTTTGGCGCGTGCGGCGGGCTCCTCCCGAGTCTCGCAGACTGTCGACGTCCCCGCCGCCCCCTCACTCTTGTCCGCATCTGCGGGGTGCTGCGTACCATGCGCACTGCTCAGCGACGCACGTCCAAACCAAGCACAGCGCACCACTCGGGGATGGACAGACCTCCCTTTAGTAAAACGTGGTTTAGTGAAAACGACCTGAGACCCAAACCTGGCGGGCGCAGGCCTGGAAAATAACGGCCACGCCGCCCTCTCGAGAACCGAAAACGGACAATTCACTAATCGACGTGTCACTGTTGGGGGTTCTGTCTACCCCCGAACCACCATATGGCAGCACATCGTTGCCCAAGCGGTATGGTCAGAGGGCGCCCGCCGCCGAGCGTAGATTTCCGAGCGCGCCCGCGTCGCCCCCGCGGGGGACCGAGGCGCACGCAGGGGCCCCGGGACGCCCCAGGTGCCCCCGAGACGCCCCAAGAGGCCTCCAGGAGGCCTCCCAAGAGGGCCCCGAGCGGCACAGATCGTTGGTTGTTGACAGGCGTTTGAGGGATTTGAGCGCTCTCGCCTTGTCGGCGTCCCGACTCTCGAAGATAGACCGAGTGGCCCCACAACATCGCCACAAGACGGCAGAAGAGGCCTCCAAGAGGGCCCCCAAAACGCCCCAAGAGGGCCCCAAGAGATCCCAAGAGGCTAAGACGGCGTAGGAGGCCCCAAAAACGGCTCCAAGAGGGGCCCAGACGGGGGACACGAATAGACATTTCGAGCCCTCGGCCCCGAGACCCCCAGGAGGCCCCACGAGGCCGCCAAGAGGCCGCCGATACGCCCCCAGGGAGCCCCAAGAGGCTCCCCAAAGGCCCCCAAGAGGCCTCCAAGAGGTTGCAAGACTATCCCCAAAGAGGCCCCCGAAAGCGCCCTGGAGAGAGACCCGAGAAGCATCCCTGAGGACTCTGACCCGCAACCCAGGCATGGTGGCGGGATGGACCGCATGCCATTGGACCCGGTTGGCACGGGGGCGGAAAGGGCTCGTGCTAGGGCGGGAGATCGTCTGTTCAGTGTCTCGGAGCCCTCTTAGTTTTGAGGCTCCGGCGCGTTATACAACAAACGAGCAACAACCTTACGAACGTTATTGAATATGGCCTCTCCAGGCCTTCTTGGGGGTCCTCTCGGTGTTCCTTTGAGCCAATTTGGGGCCCTCCTGGGTCGTCATGGGGCCCTCTTGAGCCGGTTGGGGCGATTGGGTCGTTTAGGGCCCTGTCGGGGCCCTATGAGCCCCCTTCTGGGGACCTCCTGTAGCCCTCTCGCGACTCTGTTGGGAATCATTTGCAACCCTCAGAGGCATCTCTCGGGCCGTCTTGGAGCTCTCTTGTGCCTTTCTTGGGCCGTCTTGGAGCCGTCTTTGGGCCGTTTGGGGGGCCTCTTGCGCCGTGTTTGGGAGATCCTAGGGGCCGCTCGAACCATCGTGGGCGCTGCTATAGACCAAAAAAGCGGAGATGCTGAAAAAGTAAGTTTTCCGACGGGAATGAGACGGTCCTTGCATCTTGGGCGTCGTTTTGGATGCTTCGTGGAGCGTCTTGAAGGTCCCGTCGGCTGTTTTGAAACCATCCTGGGCCCTCTTTGAACGCGTTTGGGCCGTATTGGGGTCGTCTTGGGCCTCCCTAAGGGCGACTTAGACATATCTTCGGCGCTCGTGGAGCTGCTTTGGGCGGTGCCGCGGCCCTCTGAGGCGCTCTTTGGGCCAGCTTGGGCCGTCTAGGGGCGGAAATGGCCAAAATTGGGACATGAATTCTGGGTCTCAACTGCCTCACACTCCCCCTTTGTTATTTCTCCCAACGAATCGAAGCGCTACGCGCGCTTTCTGTCATCCGCCGCCCCCAGGTGGTCTTGCCACAGGGATGCACGGCGTGCCAGATGTTAGGTAGTCTTTGGTTCATTCTAAAACTTCGAATGGGCGTTCGGTCAATCCCGCTGGCCACCAGGAAGGGCACGTAGAAGGTGTTGTCCACGGGTGTTCTGCCCCATCTGGACCCTTAGATTCCCACGTCGTCGGCTTTCCTGCTCCAAGCTGCCCAGAAGTAGCTTCCAAGACGGCCAGAATAGTCTCCGAGACGACCACGATAGCCACAAGATAACTCAATATGGCCCCAAGATGTTTCCAAAACGGGCCGAAATGCCACCAAGATAATCAAAAATGGTCACAAGATCGCCCAAGACGGCCCAAGAGGCATCCAAGACGATCCAAGAGGACCTCCTGGAAGGCCCGGAAAATAAACTTAGTAATTTCACGTACTGGATGTTTGAAGGATTCTGGCGCTTGCTCATGTCCGGCTTTTCGGCGGCCCAAGACGGCCCCAAAAGCAGATAGCCTCCAAGACGGCCAAGATAACCACCAAAACGCCAAAGATGCCTCAGATGTCTCTAAAACGGCCCGGGGTGCACTCACGTTGGCCTAAGAATGCTTCAAAATCACAGAAAGGACGGCCCAAGAGCTCCAAGACGGCTCAAGGAACCTCCAGGAGGTCCCCCAGAACAACCCAAAGAAACCTAACTCAGTTATTAGCAGGAGATGTTTAAAGGATGTGGGCTTGTAGTCCCTTTCGACGCCCGACGGTTCCAAACGGCCCGAGACGCCTCCG